CCGACCCGCCTTTAAAAAAAATATCTTTGCTTATGTTAAAGAATTTGAGAATATTTATTGATCATGCTGAAAGAACTTTCATGTACAGTACTAGTGATTCTTGTTCATTCAACTCAACTCTAAACCACTGAAGATCCTCTGCCTGATGATTATTTTAAACAGTGTTGACAATGTTCATGTTAAAGCCTTTATAGGTTTGGAGGAAGTTTTTATATTAACAACTTCTATGGCGCCAGATTAATTATACTAGAGTCAGATAACCATCATGTTTCCAGCTTTAATATGCGATGTTATTGAAAGTGTTTCATAAATCAGGGCTTCACAAACTGGAGTTTGTGAGAGAGTTCATTAAATCATAAAAATGAAAATGAAAATTAAACTAAAAAGCAATTTAAAAAATGTCATAATAAAAGAATATAAAATGCAATACAAACTAAACATCATATATAATTATTTAAAAAATATTTTAATTGTTTACCTGCATGTCATGTGACCATTAACCAACAGAGAACCTTGAACATGTAAATGTTAAATTATTGAAAATATCTCTCTAAAAATAGTAAATACTTTAGCTCAAAGCGGTTCGGCTGACAAAACAGTTCAGGAATCCTTGCCATAGCTCACACTAAAGACATGCATTTGCACGTCTACTACGGAGCAGATCGGTGAAATGAGTCCAGCAGTCGCTTCTGTTGGAATTCCACTTTGTTTTATTCTTACAGAAATCTGCGACAGTGCATTTCTGATGATTACCAATGTGCAAAATATAAACCCATGGAATTTACTCTTTCTGGAAAACAAAAAAAAATTCACATTCATGGATTGGCGTTAATGCAAAAGCTGTCCCACCGCCGACACTGAAAACACTCTGCAGAGAGGATCAGCTTTAGGAATTAACGCCCATCATTACGGCACTGAACCCTCACGTCACTGGCGAGACCGATGACAAAGTTATAGTTCACCGGGAAAAATTCAAATGATCATTATTTACTCACCCTCTTGCCATTCACACGATTTTTAAAGATTTATGGTGCTCTTTTTCAAAGCCATCACATCGGTCAAGCTCCAAAAAAAGACAAAAGCAACACCATAAAACTTGCAGAAAAGAACTGCATAAGGAGTCTCCAAAATCCTCATTTTGAGAGACAAGTGTGAGTAAATAGTAAATGTATTATCAGGTGAACTCCTGATTGAGGGAATTGTCGGAATGAATCTCCAAAAAGCAAATAAAACTGGAAGCGAAACAAAAGAGACTGTGATTTGTGCGTTGTGTGTGTGTGTGGAAGGGCCTTCATCCTCAGTGCAAACGCAGCTCAAAACCATCAACACTGATTATCCTGTGGTGTAGCAATTGTCAGGATTAAACATACGATTCAGACAAAATAAACCTGATAATAAATAAGTGTTGGGAGCAAAAAAAAAAAAACCGGCATCCGGGGCCCCACTGCAGCATATCACACAACATCTCTCTCCATATAAAACATCTCAATTCACCTGTTCAGCGTCGCTGGGAGAAACATAAGAAATACATTAAAAAGAAAACCCCCAAATGGCTACAACTGGGGAAAAACAACACAACTTATATTTGGTGACTAATTTAGTGAGCCACTATTCAAGAATTCTATACAATTTCTCATCTTAAATGCTATATGTCTCATTCTTATATCATTCTAATATATTATCTCGCATTTAGGTTACAAAAAAAATGCACTAGTGAAAACGTCAGACAACGTCCACACAGCAGATCAGAGAAACAAGAGCGCCCTCTAGCGGCCCGTCACTACACAGTCAACATTAGCCAGAGGGTGAATGCTTTCTATTTGAGAAAGAAACTAAGAATCTGGAATGATTTGGGAAATTCGATGCATTCGAGAGGCTGAATGCTGTGGCATCCAGAATCACCTCAAAAAGAAAACGAAAAGCCCGTGAAGCAGATTGTTGAAAGAGATGAATCTAGCGGCCCGTCACTACACAGTCAACATTAGCCAGAGAGTGAATGCTTTCTATTTGAGAAAGAAACTAAGAATCTGGAATGATTTGGGAAATTCGATGCATTCGAGAGGCTGAATGCTGTGGCATCCAGAATCACCTCAAAAAGAAAACGAAAAGCCCGTGAAGCAGATTGTTGAAAGAGATGAGAACCCAAAAACAAAGCTGGTATCTTGCAGTCTCGTCCCAGAAGCACCTTTCTCAGGAACATCATCACCGATAATCTATCTTTGTGAGATGACGAGCGAAGAAACCCTACTTTTGCACACCATCCGCTGGCCGTCGGAGAAAACCTTCCCTCTATGCAGCAGGTACAGGACAAGTTTCATCGCAAATGCAGACAAGCTCTCAATCGCACCGTGTCTCTTCTGAAAGTGCTAAGCCTCCTCTGCTCTCTACATCGTTCCATATATACAAGATTCCCTTTCGGGTGGGAAAGAAGCGACTTTGCCCCCACAAAACAGTCTCTGGAGCCTCGGTCTGGTGCCGTGTGTCCTCAGCAGCGGTGCGTCTGGGATCAGTTGGAGCTGGCGGTGATGGGTTCGTCCAGCTCAATGTTCAGAGGCGGTGCGGGAGCCTGCAGGTTGCTGTAACACGACTTACACACGCGACTGGGCTCAAACAACTGCTGGCTTGGCACCGGGATCTTCTGATCGCAACAGCTGCCACAGAACACATTCCCACAATTCCTGCAGGGGGCGGCAGAGATTGAGACAGAAGAGGAGGAGGGAGTCAGAGAAAGAGTTTAGAAAGAAAAAAAAAGAGAAAGAATACAATCAGTGCCTTTATAAATAACTTAGAATTTAAACTAGGGCAGCTTAGAATATATAAAAAACATTTATAATATTTAACTTTCTTAAGAGGATCTGAATGCATTAGAACTGAATGCACTATTTATTTAATATTAATTCTGATTTAATAATAAAAATAAGATATGAATGCATTAAATCTGAATGCACTACATTTTGAAATAAAAACATTATTATTGTATTTTTCATTTAATAAAAAATAAGACGATCTTAAACTTGCATCTAAAAGCACTAAATTAAAAAAAAACTATTTTTCATTTAATAATAATCCAAAAGATTTGAATGCATTAAAAGTGAATACACTACATTTTGAATAATAATAATAATTATTGTTATTATATTTATCTATTTAATAACAAATAAGAGGATCTAAATATAATTAAACGCAATGTATTACAATGCATGTACAATTTTTACTATTACTAATTATTATTATTATTAGATTGATTTAATAATAATAAGAGGATATGAATGCATTAAAACTAAATGCAGTACATTTTGGAATAATAATATAATAGTAATAATAATTATTTATTATATTGTTATTTATTATTATATTTTAATTTAATAATAATAATAAAGAATTATTCTTATTGTTCTTCTTCTTATTATTATTATTACGTAGAATCATCATATTTAAAATCTAAAAAAAGTTACTCAAATAACAGTGATTAATCACTATTATTCTAATAGGCACAGCCCCAATTAAAAAAATAAAAATAAAAAACACGAGAAACATTGTATAAAATATGTATATTAAAAATAGCTCAAGTTCTCCACCATATCCTGAACAGGAAATAACAGTGTTAAGTGTTAAGTGTGGGAGGGGCTTCTTCAGGTCTGGACAAAACAAAGCCCATGCAGATATACTGCGAGAAAACATCTAATTAACAACACACGAACGAGTGAGAAGAGGTGCATCAACAGCACCACACGCTGTGTGTTATACAGAACCCACACACAAACATGCAGTTCTTCATATATTACCATCATACACAACACACACATGCAGAGAGAAAAGAGCCTCCACAGAAAATCAATCAGATGAACCTCCATAATCTCCGTTTCACATCAGCCATATCGCTGAAAACAGGGCTTTCTGGCTCTTATGTAGCACATAGAAATACTGCAACCAAGGTACTGACGTCAGGAACATGAACATATGACCCTCATTTACATAGCAAACCTGCTCAGTATGAACTCGTTTCACATGCAAGGAGATTAACCATTCATAACAGAGGTCTTTCACATATGGAAAATACTCTTAAAGGCCCAAAAGATCAGAGCGTGTGGAAAATGGTTATGAAAAGCTGAATTATGACTGGTTTTGGTCCAAGAAACACAGACTAACATTATAAAGGGACTTCAAGTGTCCAAATTTTACACTTTTACAGCATTTAATTTTTCCCTGATATCTTTTTATTATTTACTCAAGTTTGTGGTTGGTAAGATTTTTTTACAAATGTTTTTAAAATTAGTCTTTTATGCTCTCCAAGGCTGCATTTATTTGATAAAAAAAAACAGTAAATTTATGAAAAATTATTACAATTTAATATAACTGTTTTATATTTTAATATATAAAAAAAAATAATTTATTGCTGTGATCAAAGCTGAATTTTCAGCATCATTACTCCAGTCTTCAGTGTCACATGATCTTCAGAAATCATTCTAATATGCTGATTTCTCCCTCAAATGATAACAGAGAAAGCCCGTGAAGAGACGGAGAAGAGAGGAGGGTTAGGTCACTCTGAAGCGATGCAGGGTTAACAGGCGGTAAGATTTTTTACAAATGTTTTTAAAATTAGTCTTTTATGCTCTCCAAGGCTGCATTTATTTGATAAAAAAAACAGTAAATTTATGAAAAATTATTACAATTTAATATAACTGTTTTATATTTTAATATATATAAAAAAAATAATTTATTGCTGTGATCAAAGCTGAATTTTCAGCATCATTACTCCAGTCTTCAGTGTCACATGATCTTCAGAAATCATTCTAATATGCTGATTTCTCCCTCAAATGATAACAGAGAAAGCCCGTGAAGAGACGGAGAAGAGAGGAGGGTTAGGTCACTCTGAAGCGATGCAGGGTTAACAGGACGTACAAGGGCCTGAGAATGACAGAGAGAGGGCAATTCTCACCAAACCTCTTCCATACGCTCCTTGCCTCTGTGGCACAAGAGGAAAAATCAACTTTAACTCCTAGTAGTTTATAACCTAGTCAGATTTCTAACTAGACAGCATTTGAAGGCATCATTGGCCAAATTGTTTTAGGCTAAATTCTAAGGACGCTTTCAGTCAACAAACAATCCCAGAATGCATGGTGGCCAAAATGGCAGATAGAGTTCAGAGAAATAAAAAAAAAGACTACAAGTAATATTTCATATTCTCTACTGTAGGGATGTAACGATTCACTCAACTCACGATGCGATACGATTCACAATACTGATTTCACGATTCGATTTTCTTTAACAAAATGAGATTTAAGGCAAATTCTAAATGAAAAAGTGTAGTTTTATTATTGCTTGGACAAAATGCTGCATATTTCTTTGTGAAACTGAAATATGTCAAATAGCAAAACTAAATTAACATTTTAAAACAAACCCCAAATCAAATAAATAAACATCACAAATAAAATAAATCTCTTCATATAAACAAACTAAGGCTTTGTCTGTGCTCTTTCCATTTAAAATTAGGCAACCACTGCATTTTAATCAAAATCTAAACAGAGATGCTGTATACATGCAGCATGAGCAGTTTTTAATCTAAATTAGACTGTATAATTTCAAAATTTGAAGCAAAAACAGAACGGTCTGACTTTAATTTTGTGAAACTATACTACATAAAACATCTGCACTAAACAAAAACAGCAGATGGGCTGAATGAAAACGCAAATTCTCTCTCTGACAGCAGGTGGCGCTTATGGAACAGCAGCGATACAGCGTTTCGTTGGTTACCGCTGTAAACAAAGCAGCGCTGCAAGGCAAGATGAAAAGAAAATACCATCTAAACTTTTCTGAAGACAGTCATCTCCCCTCAGAGATACATTCATATGAACTCCTACCCGTAATTGTATTGTGACTCGTTTAACATATCAACCGATTTGAATAGTATAGCATATTTGTATCGATTATAGTTACATCCCTACTCTACAGAAAATAACGCATACAGATAGGTCCATCTATAGTAGTTGAGTTTTAATGCATTATTTGTGTGCATTATGTATTTCTATGTTTATTAAGTTTATCATGTCATCAGTATTGCAACATGCTAATGTCAGACTACTTCACTATTTGTGTGGTGTGCATGTTGCAGGAAGTTGCTGCCTAGGTGAAGCGCTCCAAATCAGTCACTTGTGAGCTTCTATTTCAGTCAGGATGCCGTCTATGTAGACTGTAGGCAGCTCACTAGCTTTCTGTTGATAAAAAATGAAACTATGTACAACTTTAACAGAAAAACAAGTTTCATCTTATGAAGCTCAGTTCTGCTGTTCCCACATCAATGCCGTGCGTCCTGCATGTTGACTCGAGAGCGTTCAGCAATTTACTCACTGGCCAGTCTGCACTAGTCCTCACAGTTGGGTAGTAGTTTGTTTAATCTGCTCTGTTTACAAATGCTGCTGTAATGAGTTAGGAGTCAATCATGAAACATTTCGCCAAATTGTTCTGTTTACTGACTGACCGGAGGCAGAGGAATTTTAGAGAGGAAAAACGGGAGGTTTTCCAGAGACGTCAAGAAAATAAGTCAACACTAATGCATCTGACCCTAAAAGAGGTACATGTTGGGAGATAGAAAAAAGAGAGAGAAGACTGTAGAGGTGTGTTTTTGTGTGCTAGTCTGTGATGTTGCTTTACCTGCAGTGGTGCTTTCTAGTGGCCAGCCAGAATCCTCTCTCACAGCCATAGCACTGAGCGGCCAGATGGTCCGGGTACCACCGGGTCACCTGCAACAATAAATAAATGAAAGACCAATAAAAGACCTCATAATGACCTTAAACACAACATAAAATGGCATTCATAATGCATTCAACTTAAAAGTAATGATGACTTTATTACATTTCTTTAAATTAACATGCGCTGAGGAATCACTCACAATAAGTGCAAAAATGTTTTAAGTAAATATTAATAAATATTAAGTAAATATGGTCAAATTTAATGTCATGTTTTCTTTCAGATCAGAAGAAATATTATTTTTACATGCTATATTCTCAAACATAGTCATATAAACTATTGTTGATTTATTTTAAAGAAATGTATACTTTTTTTCAGGAAGGATGCATGAAACTGATCAAAAGTGATAGTAAAGACAGTTATAATGTTACAAAAGATTTCTATTTTGAATAAATAACTGTTCTTTTGAACTTTCTACTCATCAAATAATCCGTTAAAAAAACGTATCAGTTTCCAACAAAATATGAAGCAGCACAACTGTTTTCAACATTGATAACAATCAGAAATGTTTCTTATGCAGGAAATCAGCATATTCAGCTTTGATCACAGCAATAAATTACATTTTACAATATATTCAAACAGAAAACAGAGAAATAGAAAAAGTAAACAGAAAAGTTATTTGAAATTAAAAAAAAATATTTCACAATATTACAGATTTTACTGTATTTTTGATCAAGAAAATGCAGCCTTGGTAAGCAGAAGAGACTTCTTATTAAAATATTTGTAAAAATTGTACTGACCCCAAACTTGTGAGTTATAGTGTACCTTGTATTCTGTCTCCATATATCAGAAAACGTTTTTATCATAATAATAGCGTGTACCTCAGTGTCCTGCTTGTCCACCTGCTCCCAGCTGGCCTCAGAGAAGAGTTCAGTGCTGCAGCGGGACAGACAGTTGGGCTCCAGGTTGAAGTCGGAGTCTGCGAATGAGGTCTGACAGAAAGAAAAAGTCTCTTAAGATAAATCAAACATGTCTTAAACACCAACCCAAGCCATATGAGCAAAAACAACACCGAGTGTGCACTGCTCACCACTTCATCACCCATGTCTCCATTGAGTCGCAGCATCCCAGAAGCCTGGTGGCTCTCCAGACGGCTCCAGAGCTCCTGTACCTGCCTCTTCAGCGCTTCCACCTCCAGCTGGTGACCGGCCTCAATCTGCCGCAGCCGCTGCTGAATGGCATCCGTGTGCAGGGTCAACCCGTCATCGTCCAGATGGCTCCGGGCCGAAGGGGGTTCTGGGGGGCTGAAGCTCGGCCGGCCCAGAAACCCCAAGTGCAGGCAGCGATGGTGGGAGCAGGTGCCCCGTGCGTGGAGGGTCAGCGAGCCGCAGCTGGCGAGCGACACCTGTCGGCTGAGCGTGGCCCGCTCCCCGTTTGTACGCGCCGCCCATTGCGGCGTGGAGAGCTCGAGGTCGGGGGAGTCTCCGTTGCACACGGGGTGGAGGAGGTCAGTGGAGGGAGGAAAGGCACTGAGAGACGGCCGTTTGGGGGTGTTGCTTAAAGTCCTGGGGTCAGTTGAGGTGCGGACCCGATGTTGAGCTACAGAAACCTGCGATGGTCCTGCCATTTCTCATTCAAACTGGGGTCGCTGGAACGTCGATTGGAGGTCAGCGGGTTTCCGACTTCACAAGCACTGGGCAGGTTATCGAACGAGCGGGTTTTAGGACGCCTGTGGGATGGAAACAAGCTCACAACTTTACGTTTTTGAAGCCTTTTAGTCTTTAGAAATAAAGTCAACATGAAACTCAATTTACATTCCATTTTACTTCTGTAAAAGCTGGAATACACTACACAACTTTTTAAATCTGAACAGATTATACACTACCAGATTTTCAAGATATTCCAAACAACAAACTCACACAGAAACATGTGACTTGTTGCTAGGAGACGCATGACAAATGTAAACAAAACGTGTTCTAAAATTGGCTCAAAGTATCAAACATGTTTGATCTCTGACTGGATGGAATAGGGCTGTCGCGATTCGTCGATTTTATTCAATTTTTTAAAATCCTCGACTTCATTTTGCTCGCGTCGACTAACCGGCAAAATACCGGAAGTGGCGCATTTCACAGACGAGAAAGTATAAAACACATTATTAATATAATTACAACATTATTTAATTATAATTAAAACATAATTAAGCATAATTGTGAATTCACAAACGCTACGATTTTAATTAAATAATTATATGCAATGCAGTTCTAATACAGTATATGCGCTTTAATTATTCACATGCGTGTAGGTTAAGTACATGCGTCACACAGCGGCTCCGTTCACAGTTCCACAGGAACTGTTATCATTTACATGTGTGGAGCGTCTAAAACTCCATCTCTGCATGTTGTTGTGAGTTTGGGTTTATTATAACGTTCATCTGGGAACGCAACATGAGCCATTTCATCAGATTTGTAAGGTAAATCATTTATAAATCTACGCAAACACAGGAGAATAGGCTACATCGCGGTTTCAAAATAAAAGCTCAAACCCTCACTCTGAGTTTACACGTTTTGATGTCCACATATTCTTTTATTTACAGTGGCTATAGCATTTCTGTCCTAAAGAAATGGCCAATATTAAAGATTAAGTGGACATTTGAATGAAATGGTGCTTGGTCAATATTAAACAAGTATTAGATCGCACAGCAATGTGTAAAAACAATCGTCAGGCCGTTGGCGCCCCCTGCAGGCCTTTGTTGTAATGCGTGATGTACATTAGCTCTATTGTTTATAATACATTATGTGTTTTAACAGTTTTGTTCAATAAAACCATATGATTTCTTGATTTTGATACTTTATTTGAACTAATTATTATTGCCTCATTGCTATTATATATGTATTTTAAGTAATTGTAAAGGCTATTGTTCACTTACATCTATTTTTATTACCACAAAAAAATTTATTATAATTATAGGGCACTATGAAATCCGTTTTATTTCCAAATTCATTTTTTCCATTTTCATTTTTATATACTCCGTTTTAATGGTTAAATAAAATTTTATTCATCAAAAAGCCTGTCTAATGAATTGAGTTTTACAGTTTTATCTTTAACAAATTCTGTTTTGCATTATTTTCTGGATTCCATTTTAATGGTTCCATTCAATTTTAATAATCAAAAGCATTTCCAATTAATTATTAAAAATTTTTTTTTTTTCAGAAATACTGCACATTTACATTTTTTCTCCTAATAAATTCAATTAATTAATCGTTTAGATTCATCGATAAATTAGTCGATAGATTAATCGAAATAAAAATAGTCGTTAGTGGCAGCCCTAGGATGGAATCATAGTCTGAAGCTAAAAAAAATGGAGTAAACATGTAAACATACACTACATGATTTTCTATGAAATATGTCAGCTTAACTCTGCAGACGGGCTCTGACTCACGGCAACTAGCTCGGACTCATCCAGTGTAAATCGGGGCAAAAATTGTATTGTGTATTCCGTCCTTAAAGTGAAGTATTTTAGATCGAAACACACAAACAAATAAAGTAATTACCTGCCGAGGGGCTGGTCCTCAGGGTTGGCACCAGGTGCAGGGTAGGGGGCACAGGAGTCATCAGAAGGGGTTGTGGGTGAAGAGCTGGGTAGGTAAACTGCTGTCCATAACAAGAGATTGCGTACATGACACACAGGATGAAGCACCTAGTAGGAACAGCAGAGACCGAATATAAATAGATGATTGAAATTGCGTAAAAATAAAAATGCTCAGGTCATATTTGACACCAAAAGAAAGAAAGAACGATGCTGCATAAAGACTTATTTCTTTCCTTGGATTTTGGATTTAGGAATGAAAAAGGACCCAGACATGTTTCTGAGAGGTTTCAGAAAATTCACATGATGCATTTAGTTCAGTTGATCAAATTAAAGCAGAAATAAGAGAAAAGGGCACAAAAAGTTTTTAAGATTTTATCAACCCGTTAATCAATATATAACTGAAACTGAAAGTTTGAGGCAAAAAAATAAAAACGTTGCAAAAACTTCAATTTGACCCACCAACAGTGTGGTTTTAGTTAACAATAACATTTAAATTATTTAAAATAAAATAAATGCTATTAAAATTAATAAAAATGAGCTTAATAAAACAAAATTTTTTTTTTTTAAACAAAAAACAAAACTTATTTTATTTAATTTTCATTTAGTTTAAGTTGAAGTACTAAATTACCATAAGCAGAGCTGAAATAAAATAAAAAAGGGAAAATAAATAAATAAATAAAAACAACAAAAACACTAAAACTAAAATTAAAATGGAAAATGTAAAAATAAAAACTAAATTAAAAATATTAATACATACTATAATAGTATATTAATGATCATATTGCCAGGTATGTTTACACATACAAGGAATTTGTTTTCATGACAGAAGCGATAACACTCATATAAAATAACAAAAAAATAACAGTGTCATAAAATAACACTGCCCCCCAACAGGGCTAACACATTGATCCAAATTAAAATCCAACAAGCATTTTTGTTGGGGCGGTGTGATCTAGCTTTAAGAGACAGGAAATGAAAGGACACGGCAGCTCCGGGTCTCTTGAGTATTAGAGAGGAATGCAAGCACGAAATGTGAAGCCAGTAAACGCCTCTCTTCATGTTTACTCACTACACAAAGGTCAAACGAAACTACTACAAAACAGAGGTATGAATTATGAGGCAAAGGCAGTCGAAGTCTGTCAGGAAAGGGAAAAATACATTGCTATGAATAGAATCAGTGCTGTACAGACATGAGTAGCAATGAAAAATGGTTCATGCCAAATAATGGTACTTGTTTTGATTGATAGATTATTAACAATATATTAACAATATATTGTATATATATATCTTCATCGTATATAAAATAAATGTTTATCTTTTCAAATGATATAATACACTACCGTTCAAAAGTCTGGGATCAGTACGATTTTGTTTTTTAAACAGAAATGAACACTTATGTAACAAAGGTGCATTAAAATTCAGCATATTAGCATGATTTCTGAAGGATCACGTCAGACTGAAGACTGGAGTAATGATGCACACGCAGTTTTGAAAAGATCATATTAACTGAGCAACTACATGGAATGAAAAGTCACTCTCACACTGCAATTTTTTATATATATAATAGTCATCAAAATCTATTATATCTGCTCTTTGGACATCAGCTACTGAAAACCTCCTATCGGTTGTAACCTCATATAACCTCTTATGAGGAAATGATTATAAGAGAGTAATGACGTACGGTCTCTGAATGAGAGGAGTACAGCATGTTTTTGAAGGAGCGATTGGCAGCTCTGAGGAGAGACCAAACGGAACAGGTTCTTTCCTGGATGTGTCGGTCCTCTCTCTCCTTCCTGCTGTTACACAGGAACGTCCCGAACAGACACGAGTACGTGTGCTGCACTAGCTTCACCTGAACACACAAAACCAAAAGAACTCAGAGCTAGTTCAACAACGACTTAAAGTACAAAAGCATGTTTAATATTAAAAATGACACAGGCTTATGCCAACTTTCACCCCACCAGAAAGGCTTCGTTGAACTCGAAGGAACATGGGAATTGTCTCTGGAGCTGGTGCACACAGTCTAACCACTGCAGGAAGACAGGACATCTCTCGTTCAAGTCCTCCGCATTCTCTCCGTGACCACAACGGTCTGCGAACTTATGACCGAAGTCCAACCACTCGGTCTCAACCAGCACCTGAAAACCCTGTGAGCAGAAAGAAGATTTTCTGTTTATATGATGTCAACAGTTTGATGTCAACACAAATCATAAAATAACTCCAGAACACAACATGTATTCAACATCAGACAATTAGATATGAATGTCTAAAATACAGTAATGCCTCTTCTAGCACTTGAGACAGCTCATGAATCTTCTGAGTTCAAGCTCCAAAACTATCTTCATGACGGACATCATCTGGGGCTTTTCTGTCCAGTTTTCCATTTACTTTTTCCATACAGACAGCTTGCTATTAGTTGTAAAAAAGTCTCTAGACATCATGCTCAGTAAAAAAAAGCTGTTATTTTAGTATTATTTATACTCAATAAGAGTTATTAACATTTTGAATTACCTTATATTTTAATATTCTCATTTTAATTTTAGGTTAATTTTGTTAAAAAGTAAATATTACCATTTAGGTTTAATTACATCTATTTCAGTTTCAGTTTTTTTTTCATTTAATAATTTTTAGTGCTTAAAATTATTTCAATTAGTTGTCAAGGCAACATTTCTGTTATTTCATTTGATTATTTCTATGCATTTCTTTTATTTAATTTAACACAATTTTTAATAGCTTTAATTTTAGTTAACGATAATAACCCTGTTAAAACATTCAACTGAAATCGACTACGCTACCCACTTGCAAAATGTCCTGTCTTGTGAAAACAACAAGATCTGGAAAGATTCCAAATTCAATATTCTATATGAATAAAGGTTTGTTTGTTTGTTTGCAATTTAATGCTACCACTGCTATTGATAGCGAGAAACAGGTTAAAATGAGGCAAAATCTGAAAAGAAAAATTTATGAAAAACAATTCTAAGTTTATCTTTGAAAAAGAAAAAAAAAAATCTAAAACTAAATCTGTCCTTACTTCATAAAAATTCATTCATATGAATGTAAAAAGAATGTAAAAAGAGTCTTAGAGGAGCTGAAACCATCATAATCCATTAAAATATCCCTCAAATATATTCCACGCTGGCATAAGGAGCATAAAGGAGGATCTTCCCTGTTAACAAAAAAAGAAAAAGTCTGGAGTGCAAACAATGAAGGGAATTGGTTGGATGATATTAGAGGTTGAGAAAATATTTTAATAACTATAATTTTGGTGTTTTGATGTCAGAGTTTGGCCCATTCGGATGGTGTGAAAGCTGTAATCTCACCCCACACTGAGTCCACTAGTAAACACCAGTCTCTACATTGTTGCTTGGATCCAGCTGCTGCTAGTAAATATTAGACTATGAAAAGTCACCCAAATAATACACTACACTCTCAGAAAAAAGGTACAAAAGTTGTCACTAGTGCTGGGCGGTATGACCAAAAATTTATATCACGGTATTTTTCAAAATTATACCGGTTTCACGGTACATGACGTATTTTGTTGTCACCTTATTTACCCTTAAAGGGAGTATATTAGTACCTTTTGAAAGGGTAGCCCTGCAGTGACAGCTTTTATACCTTTTTATCTGAGTGTATGAAAAGGGAAGGTGTGCTATAGCAGAAAAACGACTCTCTGTTGTTCAGTCGATGTCAATCAAAGTGTGTTGTGCTCCAAGGTCGGGCAGCATTACTAATATTTTAACATTTTCTCTAAGCCGTTGTCTATGTAAACATGTCCTTGTGAGCATTTCAAACCACAGGATTTAAAATAAGTCCTTGTGGATTTTTCCAACATGTGATATAGCTTATGAATTCCTCTCGCAATAATTCAGGGGGAATTTTAATTGTCTTCCCCATTTTTTGTTCATTATGTTGGCGCTCACCTCAATGGTGCGGTAGTACGGGTCCAGCAGGACTTTGGCCAGCGCCACTATCTGAGGGGTGCGATCCCAGCCGTCTGAGCAGTGCACCAGTACGGGCCTGTGGTCACGGTTCACGGCGTTCACAACGAGGAGAGACGCCTTGAGCAGGAGGGACAGATGCTGCAGCCACTTTGTGCTCTCCAGAGCAGACAGCCAGCTAAAGACAGAACAAAACTCACCATTACACACATCTGAAGCATGTTCAAAAGGTTTCTTGCAGCAAACTGTAACTTTAAGACTTGTAATTTGACACATTATGCAATATGGTCGACAAACTTCGCATATAGTTAGTTGCTGAATACTATACTATTATTAGTAATGAATTATACACTACCAGTTTTTAAAAAATTTTTTTTAAGAAATTCAGGCTTTTATTCAGCAATGATGCAATAAATTGATCAAAAGCATCAGTAAAGACATTTATAATGTTACAAAATATTTATATTTCAAATAAATGCTGTTCTTTTGAACTTTTTTATTAATCGAAGAATCCTGAAAAAAAATAATAAATAACAGTTTCCACAAAAATATGAAGCAGCACAACTGTTTTTTTTGAACATTTATAATAATATGAAATTTGAGCAGCAAATCAGCATATTAGAATGATTTCTGAAGATCATGTGACACTGAAGACCGGAGTAATGATGCTGAAAATTCAGCTTTGACTCACAGGAATAAATTACATCTTAACATATATTTAAATAGAAAGCAGTTATTTTGAATTATAATATTTCACAATATTACAGCTTTTACTGTATTTTTATTAAATAAATGCAGCCTTGGTGAGCAGAAGAGTATTCTTTCAAAAACATTAAAATATAACTCGAAACTTTTGAATGAAAAAAAAAAAATCATTGAAATATGTGAAATCACATGAGCTCATGGTTGTGATGTCTAATGCATGAGTCATTTTTCAGATTCGTTTCAATAAATATTCTATGCAAACTGGGGAGGATCTTTGATTTGTTTATATTACAATATGTCTGCATACTGAAAAAAAAAATCACATACTAACCTGTTTTCAATTATATTTAATACAGGTGAAACAAAAACAGCATTATGCACATCAGGAAAACTGATTTTACATCTTAATGGAAAACTGTGAGAAGGACTAAAGAATGCGGTTTTGACAAGTGTGGTTAATACTCATTTTAAAAGTTTTCCAACATGGTCAAATACAGCCAAAGCAAACTGACATTAGCCAAGGAAACACAGAGTGCAGGTAACCGGAGGAGACATTCAAATTATAGTTCCTGAGAGGAACATGAATCAGAATAGTGTTTAAAAGGAAAATCGCCGTTGTATGAATATGACTACCTCATGCAGCGAGACATTTACAATCAGAATAATCAAAGGAGAGAATTCTGTTGCTTAGAAACGCAGCTCTTGGCCAGAGTTTATCATGGTGACTCAAGAGAGAATGAGAGTGAAAGAAACAGAGAGAGAGTCACTTGGAAGACTTGCTGTTGACTTTACAACAAATAGATGAGTGGAAACAGCGTGGATGGAAAAGGAAGCAAATACGAGCCAGTGCTGGAAATCATAGGCAGATGCCAGGGAAAGAACAATAGACGGAAAAATAAAAAAGCAGAGCTCATGAAAGGAACTAAAGCACCAGAGTGTTTGCGAGACTTTGACATAATCACAGATAATGCACTTCAATCACTCATGTAGAGCAGGAACTGATAGTCATTAAAATTAAGTTTTTGATCAACAGGTAAAGAATTCAACAGTAGCACTCCACTTTCCATCTGGGTCACAGCTTTGAAGTCAATATTTGATCCAAATCAATCCGCTTAACATTTGATTCAAAGCAAAAGAAATTGCTAGTAAATTTCACTAATAAATTACAGAGAAACAACAATTAACATTAAATTGAACATTAAATACTGAAGTAGAAAATAGTATTTTCTTGTAAAAAAAAATATAAAATCCAATAATCCAATAATGCATTTACAAAAATGTTTTTACAGTGTAGATCTATATAGAAAAATTATGTTAATGCATAAAATCAATATAGTTTCAATATTTGAAATATAATTTTAGGCTTTTGCCCCAGACCCAGACCCAAATTTTGAGACGGATCAATTACCTATAATACATTTGAACAGCTCGATAGCAAGTATTAAAGAAAAAAGCATGTTATGTCCCTAAAAGGCTAAATATATCAATAAACAAACAAACAGACTACAACCGCAGCAGATGTTTGCTGGAAGACTTACTTGGCTGGATCAGGCATTTGTGTGCAGAGGAAGCGCAGAGACTGGAAACTCTTGCGGATGGAATGGATGTTGGCCATACCCATAAACACCACCTCACAGTTAGGGTAGTACTCTACGGGGGAGAACAACATGTCATTAATGAGTGGGGCATCTTGTTTTACTGTGATTGTTGAAAGAGCATCTATGAGAGAGTACCTGGGCATTCACACCCTCCTCCTTTGGCTCTGTTGGCTACGGCAGCGGCGTATGACCTGGCGTCCAGGATCAGAAGCTTTCGAGGTTGGATGGCCAGTGTCTCCACCTCTGAGCTGTTAGTCATAGACGAGTCTACAGAAAGAGACATGTATGTATAGATCAAGTCATATAATATGACAATAATCAGTATTGAGAACAGTATTCTGTCAAGATTTTTAAGGGCCAAGTGGTACTGACCAAAGTCCACATCTGAGAGGTCAGCTCCGTTAGTGTACTCGTGGGAGAAGGAGCCGTTGGAGACGCCTTTACAGGAGCTGCTGTCAACAGCACAGGCTCTGGCGATGGACTGCACCAGGTGCTCATCATCTGCGTTCCTCCAGCCCCACCAGCTGACCTCAGGCTGACCACAGCGAGCGATCACTGCCCCTGTGCTCTGGTGCCTGGGAAAGAGAGGTTAAAGATCTGAACTGTTAATCTGAAGGTTCTAGGCAACCTTGTAATTGTTGTAAAACTAAAACTAGTAAAACTGTTTTCATTAATTGAAATAAAGCTTAAATAAAACAAAAATATAAAAATATAAATAAAATTTAAGCTGCAAGCAGCATTGAAAGGGCACTCATGCCCGGAGCCACCTCCACCTGGTGGCCTTAGGAAAACAGTGAACGATGGGCAAAATGCATTTAAAGTGGTAAATATAGGAGGAATATGTCAAAGTCATTTATATGTGCCAAAATACCTGCTGCCAGCTGGTGGCGCTATGACTATAACTGAATATTGGCATGTCATTTTGATTAGCTGTCATTTTGATTAGCTCAGCATGAAAAGAGCTTTCCTGGTGCATTTCAGTCCTTGGTAGTGCAACTGAAGCCAACAATCAACTATGGGTGGCAAGGCACTGTCAAAAGATCTCCGGGATAAAGTTGTGGACAGGCACAAGTCAGGAGATGGAGCCAAAAAAATGTCAAAGGCTTTATCAATGCCTAGAAGCACAGTAAAGAAGTGGAAGGTATTTGGTACAACACAGACCCTGCCTGGATCAGGACGTCCCTCCAAACTGGATGAAAGAACCAGAGGAAACTGGTCAGAGAGGCTACCAAGAGGCCGGCAGCAACTCTTTGGCAGCAATTTATGACAAAGAGTGGTCATTGTGTGCAATGCATGTGATAATAATATCACAAATATCAACAAATGTGGCTTGTGTGGGAGGGTTGCAAGAAAAAAGCCACTCCTCGAGAAAGGCCACATGCAGTCACGACTGAGCTTTGCCAAAACGCACCTTGAAGATTCTGAGGCAGATGAGACTAAAATTGAATTATTTGGCCTCAACGCCAAACGATATGTCTGGTGTAAATTCAATACAGCTTACCATCCAAATAATAGTATTCATACAGTAAAGCATGGAGGTGGTGATGTCATGTTATGGCGCGTTTCTCTGCAGCAGGGACTGGAGCACTTGTCAGGACAGAAAGAAAAATGGATGGGGTCTGTGATGATGTTACCTGCCCGTTTCTTCATGAAGGTTGGGCACAGAACAGACTCAATCACAGCTGAGTAAAACTGTGTCATCTGCGCCTGTGGAAGGTTGAACATTTTCAGTTGGCGAAGGAAGTACAACCTCTGCTGGGCCTTTTTAACAATGGAGTCTATGTGAGTGTCCCACTTCAGGTCCTGAGAGATGGTGGTGCCCAGGAACCTGAATGACTCTACTGCAGCCACAGTGCTGTTCATGATGGTGAGTGGGGGGAGTGCAGGGGGGTTTCCCCTGAAGTCCACTATCATCTCCACAGCTTTGAGCGTGTTCAGATCCAGGTTGTTGTGATTGCACCAGACAGCCAGCTGCTCAACCTCTTGTCTGTAAGCAGACTCGTCACCGTCCTGGATGAGACCGATGACTGTGGTGTCATCTGCAAACTTCAGGAGCTTGACAGAGGGGTCTTTAGAGGTGCAGTCATTTGGGAGAAGAGCAGTGGGGAGAGCACACACCCCTGAGGAGCTCCAGTGCTGAAGGTGCTGGTGTTGGATATGATCCACTGACAGATGGAGGTGGGTACAGAGAGCTGTGTCAGTTTGGTAATATCTGTTGCTTGGTAAGCAAACTGCAGGGGGTCCAGCAAGGGTCCTTCACGTAGACCAACACCAGTCTCTCAAATGACTTCATGACCACAGACGTTAAAGCAACAGGTCAGTAGTCATTTAGTCCAGTGATTTTTGGTTTCTAGGGTACAGGGATGATGCTGGAGCGTTTGAAGCAGGAGGGGACTTCACACAGCTCCAGCGATCTGTTGAAGATCAGTGTGAAGATGGATGACATCAAATAAAGTCCATCACACCGTCAAAATAAAAGTCCCGCCTCGAACGCATCTGCCCAACTGGAAAACTTATCGGCCGATGTCGATATTTAAAAAATGTCAAATATCGGCCGATGTATCGGCCTTGGCGAAATATCGGTCGACCACTACAAAAAAGACACAATGAAGATATAGCTAGATAGACAGACAGACAGACAAATATATATAGAGAGCTAAATACACTAAATAGAGAATGATAAATAGAATGAACAATAACTGATAGAACGATTGACAGAAAGACAGAACGAATAATAGACAGAATGAGAGAACGATAAATAGAACGACAGATTAAAAACTATTAAACTATTAAACATTTTTCATTATTTAAAATAAATCTTAAATAAAAGATAAATATTGAAATCTAAATAAAATAGAAATATAAAAAAAAACTAGAAAATGTTTCCTTGGCAAGTAAATGAAATAAAGTTTAAGTACCAAAATTTGTAAAAGTATAAAAATTAAAAAAAAGATACTAAAAAAAAAAAAATTTAAAAACACACACACAATGAAGAAGACTGACCTGTAAACCACGGCCGGAATCCTCTTCCAGGAGCGGAAGGCGGCCACATTCTCCAGCTCTTTATCAGTAATCCAGGCTGGCACCAGCAGCAGCTGAGGGTAGCTGGAACACAACCTGTGCCAGGACGCAAGCAGAGGGCAGTGTGTTCAGACTGACTGATGCCGGTCTAAAGTCATCTAATCCTGAAAAGACCCGCCGAGTGTCCAGAGCAGTTTAGATGTGCTTCTGTTTGTGAGAGAAACACTCACTTGTACTTGTTGTTGATCTCAGACACTCTCCAGGCATTCAGAGTATCAAATCCCATCCGCTCCACCTCGTTATGGAAACGTGACATCACATGATCACCTGAAAGATAGAGGCGAGTGAGAGGCTGAGATGAATCCTGAAGGTAAAGAGGAATAGGATTTCCAAAGAACTAGTTACTGGATTAGACAAATCTTGTGAGGTTCTTTGTAAAGATATTCAAGAGTATCTTGTTTGTGCACTCGTTAGGTGGCAAAGCTATGCCAATAAAATGGTTTCATTTGCACCCCCACCCCACCCCCGCTTCTGCTCTCTCACATCTGCATGTACAAGCGCACAAGTGAGTTTTGCTGCAGGAATATCGTAAAAAGAGTAGCAAAAGTCAAAGCGCTAGAATTTGAAGTTGTACTGCCAGATCTGAGAGGCTGTAAGTGCTGGCTTGTGGTTGTACAGCGAAACTGAAGTAAAGTGCAAAAGTAATTATGTCGTACACATTTGTGTCTGTCATTTAGTTTATGTGACTATTAATCTGCAACTTCGAATTCACGGGTGTTTTGATTATTGTCTGTGTGCAAATGAAAGATTCAGCTTTTCACATCAGAGCTGTGAGTGTAAATTTCTATGTACAAATACGAATATTAATATGACACATTAATCAACAAGTTCTCGAGTTTTGCTATTATTTTTCCTTCATATAAAGCTTTCTGGCTATGCAAGACTAGCAGGAAATACTGAAATAAAACTATTTGTGACATCTAATTTCAGCCTCAAGAACACAGATTAAGTTTGAGAAAGTCAGACAGTACCTGGCCTACACAGATCCCCGTGCTGCTCCTTCTCCACGCACCATGCGTGGAAGGGGAAGGAAAAGAGCTCCTCTATCTGGGACGGGGGACGGAACGCAGCGCTCAGCCTCTTCAGCCACTCCTGACACTGCTCAAATGTGGAAAACTGACACCTGTCAAAACACACATTAGATCTACTGCATCAGAGACACACTGAGACAATGAAAGAGAACATCAAATACAGACTTGGGTCGACATGGATTTCTGTACAAAATGGCTATAGAAATTTGATTACATTTTCAACTAAAGTCATAATAGTAGCCAGTCAGCTTAAATAAATAACAATAAATTTTTAGATAGATGGAACGATAGAACGATAGATAGATAAAACAATAGAACGATATAGATAGATAGATAGATAGATAGAACGATAGATAGATAGAACGATAGATAGAACGATAGACAGACACAAAAATAATGATAGAAAATTTACTAGCCAATGGTGATTCTATTGCCAAGGTGTGCATAGAGGGTTGATATAGATAGTCTCACCTGATGACCTTGCAGTCTTTGCAGGTGATGTGCATTTGGAACATGTCCCGACATTCTACACTTTCTATCAGCTGCAGGGGAACCTGAGAGAGAGAGAGTGAGACAGATTAGTCATAGAGAAATTATTTTTCATTATTGGCACTGTGAGTCTCAGCACACCAAAGAGAGCATCTAAACGGAAGTTAACATTAACCCAACTGATGCTAATGATTAAATCAACCTGCTGAATCAATCACACTGAAAGTTTAGACATGGGTTCAGAGTTTACAGACACGGTTAGTGATTAGCGTCTGCAGACAAACTCATTCATTGTTCTGCAGCTCAAGTGTTGAACAGTCTGGCATGCCGATCAGCTTCAATCGTGTGCGTGTGTTTATGTGTGTGGACGCCTCTGCAACTGTGCGGTTGAAAACGCAGTTCCCCTTCAAGCTCCGGAACTTGCGCGTGATCACACATTGACCGCATGCAAGTCACATCTGACCACAGCTCTCACAAATCTCCCAAACCTGCAGCTCGCAACATCATGCAGACAGACAGACCGTTCTGTGGTTACTTACTGACACCTCACACGAACAATTCTGTTCACAGAGAAAGAGAGGGAAGACAGAATCACGAGGTGGACATGAACACTGCGGCTTTTGGCTCGTCTGTGATACACACATTCCTGGGCTGCGGTTTAATTCTACCACACTAATCTGACCACACTCAAACATTCCTGGGGCGCTTGCTGAAGGGTCAGAGAACACAAACATATTTGTGAGATATTAACTGATACATATTAGAGATAGAAGCTTTCATATTTTTCTCTCCAAAAACTAGCATCTCTAAATGTAACCCCTTTAGAGCTCCATCACTACAACTCTTTGGAAAAAATTCAGCAATATGATTTGTCATATATTGTCTTTTTTTAACATCTTTCTCGGTTTCAGTTGTATCAGGACATTATTCAATATGACTAAAAAATATATTATTAATTTATTAATTATTTTTTGCAACCTCAATATTACTTCAATAATAATAATAAGATAATAAACGTAAAGATATATATACCCACTGTATATAGTTAATTAATTATTATAATTCAAATTTTTTTATTAAATTACAAAAAAAAAACATATTACTATTGCATAGAAACATATTGTTGTACAGTAAAATACAATAATAATATTTATGGCTGTCTTACTTTTTTTGCTTTCAATCATTAAATCACAGAGCTTTTATTTTGGAGGAAAACCGCAGGGAGACATAAAATTTCACTTTTGTTGACAACAGATTTATAAATGATTCTCAAAACAAATTTGGGAAGATGATTGCATGTGTAGTGTTTTCAAATGCATGTTTTACTTTGAAACAAGCATTCCGAGCTGCTGAAAATACCGGATCATGAGTTGTTCCATGCATGAAAGAAATGTATTTGAAAATGCTTAGTAATTGTTTACGGCCATTTTGCAATTTCATTCATTTTATTTCTTAGGTCAGAAAATAAGGAAATCCGTATAAAAAAAAAGAAAAATCACATCCCTGTAGTTTCACTGTGTTTAACAAAACAGTTTAAGGCAATTACTATCAGACTTCAAAATAACTGCTCTAAGCAATATTCCAGTTATTACACATCCATAACCTGTACAGCGTGCCAAAACCAACTTTTAAAAAAACGTGTCAAGACTTCTGCATTCTGTTATGCTCTGTCAATTTGTGCAACTCAAAATGCGTTGAAAAAAATGACACTTTAGCAGTCACAATTCATATTCTCTCAACCTCCTTCCTCTTTTTTTCCTCTATTTCCAGCCCTACACTTGTGCACTTGCTCTTACGACAGCTTTGTTGCCTCACTAGCTGGCCTATAGTCACATCACTCTCTCTTCGTTCTCACGCACAACACACTCTCTCTTTCACAGGCACACAGAGAGCGTCACACTCATTTACTCTGGTGAATAAGTGACTGTCACAGATATTAAACTGATGAATCAGCACTGAGCTGATCATCCACCAGCCACAAACAAACCCAGCTGCCTGATCACATGTACATGAACAGAATATTTTGGGCTAAACAACTCAAGCGTAACAGTACCTGTCATTTTGATAATTATTTTGTCTATCAGTTTATAATGCACTTACAATAAAAGCTGAGCAAAAAAACGTCCAGAATGGAAAACAATTAAGCGATAATGTACAGCCAGCCAGTCATTATTGCAAAATAAACCCCAACAGAGATCAGGACTCTAATGCAAAACGGTTTCTGTTCAGGGTGGAGTGTTTGGGAAAAATGATTGCAATTATATTAGTGGCACATAAATTACACACTTAATCATTCATATAAGCACTTAAAAGGGCCATTAAATGCTAAACTTCATTTTCTGAGATTTTAACAGAGGTGTTTGTGTTGCACATCATAGTGCATAGTGGATGTAGGCATACGTTATTTTTAACTGTAGGAGAAAACTAGTTAATTTTGAGCTTTGAGCTGTTTTTGCTTTATAAAGTCTCTGAGAGGTATAAATTCTCTTCTATAGACCTTGAGTCTCTGACACAGGATTCACCCACACCGTAAGTGTTACCGATCTTTACGGCTTCTTGGTGTAACCGAGTGTTGTCCGCAAAATAAACTACAAAAGTCATTAAAGTTGCACCAGCGTGTTCTTATATATTTTCAATGCAGAGTGCAAATGCAAACGGCTGTGCATCTACTTGTGCATTAAATTAGTGCTCTCACAGAATGTGTGCATTTATGTAATGTATGGTGAGCTTACAAAACCATGTATAATATATATTCATTTTGTTCCTTGTAATAGTGAATTGCAGCATGCATTTGAGGGATAGACTTCCATTGTAAGTGCATTACTGTAAGCACAATTTACATGGGTTGTTGACAAACTTTTGACAGTATGCCAGTTAATATTCTGCATTTAGCCCACAATATTCCTTCACTCCTCTTGCTCTCATTCCAGCAGTTCAGGAACAGGCAGCTCTGTGTGCTCCACTTGAATGGTTTCTAGATCGTGACTGCTGGTCTATGAGGGGTATAATAGAGCAGATTATTAGTATGTAACCAGAAATGTTATTATAGTGCCATGTTGATAGCACGGGGGTGGACAATCCCAATCAAAAAGCCACTGCAACAGGCTTGGGAAGAAACAGTGAAAGTGAAGAGCTAATAAAGACAGACCTGTTCAATACACACACACAGGGTTACGGCAGCCACTGGCCAGTGTCAGAGCGCCTGTTGTAACTGTGGCCTGCTGTCCCTAAATACCCTTCACATCATTGGTGGGCTCTTAATTTAGCAGCATGTCATGCACCATATAAAAGAGTCTTTCAGTGACCACTGGACTGGCTATCCATCATACATTCACTATGGCACAACAGACCACAATCCAGTTTCACTCAAGAATGTCTGAGCTGAAGGTAAAAAAAATAAAAGAAAAAATAAATAAAAGTCACTTTGCAAAAAATATGCATCTATTTTATTTGCACAAACTAAAGCGGCCCTGATCAGAATTGAGCAAATTCAGTGTGATATTTGCCGTTCAAACGGTACAAAACTATAGAAGCTTTTTTCCGCGGGATAAAAATAAATAAATATATATATATATACAGTATCTCACAGAAGTGAGTACACCCCTCACATTTTTGTAAATATTTTATTATATCTTTTCATGTGACAACACTGAAGAAATTACACTTTGCTACAATGTAAAGTAGTGAGTGTACAGCTTGTATAACCGTGTAAATTTGCTGTCCCCTCAAAATAACTCAACACACAGCCATTAATATCTAAACCGCTGGCCACAAAAGTGAGCACACCCCTAAGTGAAAATGTCCAAATTGGGCCCAATTAGCCATTTTCTCTCCCCGGTGTCATGTGACTCATTAGTGTTACAAGGTCTCAGGTGTGAATGGGGAGCAGGTGTGTTCAATTTGGTGTTATCGCTCTCACTCTCTCATACTGGTCACTGGAAGTTCAACATGGCACCTCATAGCAAAGAACTCTCTGAGGATCTGAAAAAAAGAATTGTTGCTCTACATAAAGATGGCGTAGGCTATAAGAAGATTGCCAAGACCCTGAAACTGAGCTGCAGCACGGTGGCCAAGACCATACAGCGGTTTAACAGGACAGGTTCCACTCAAACAGGCCTCGCCATGGTCGACCAAAGAAGTTGAGTGCACGTGCTCAGCGTCATATCCAGAGGTTGTGTTTGGCAAAGGTGTAAAGTAAATTTTTTTACATCTCGCAATTCTGAATTTTTTCTCGAAATTCTGAATTTACGTCTTGCAATTCTCACTTTTCTCATGACTCAGTTTTTTTGTTTCTGCTAATGAATAAAAAATTAAAAAGGCAACTGCAAGTTAACATTTCACAATTCTGAGTTTATATCTCACAAAAAAAAATCGGAATCATGAGATGAATTGTGAGAAAATAAGTCAGAATTGTAAGATAAAACGTTGAGATTAAATTTATTTATTTTTTATTCTGTGGTGAAAACAGGCTTCCAAACAAAAAAAGAGCTGAGTTGCATGTGAAAAATGCAGCCATCATCATACATGGGCCATATTTAAGTGTGGAAGTAAGAAGGACTTTTGTAAATAAGATAAATTAAAAGAAAACCAACTGGAAAAAAGCCCTGAAATGCAAACACTGCTCAGTTTAGTTTGATTTGGTTTCAGTGCAGGAGATCTCTTTATTCCACTTCAACTGCTAAGACATGTAAACTGTTCATTGCTGCTTGTTTTATCATCTCCTCCAAGTAGGTTTTAGTATATTTTGCGAAAGACAATGAGCATATACAATTGTACAAACTTTGGCAACAACAGCTCAGTAAATACTTCCCTGACTCGTATCCTTAAATACAGACTGAAATCAATTCAAAAACACATTTTGAGTAGGGATGCGCCAATCCGATATTCATATCGGGTATCGGCTCCGATAGTGCCATTTTTCTCGGATCGGGTATCGGTCAGAGAGGGCCGATCCAAATCCGAGATTTTTTTTTTTTTTCTCGATTGTGCGAATTATTCTGTGTTACTTCTGAAGCCATACGATAGCTTAATGTGAGCTACATATTAATATTTAAGTCCTTACACTAAAGTTCACACAAACTCTCTCCCTGGTCGCGTTCGGTTACGACAGTCAGCTCGGTAAAGCTCTCTACAAGATCATTCTGTGTTCCCATTATACTTGATTTGTAAATACATGTCTATGATTTTGCAAAAAGGACTTTATCTTCTTGCCGGAGTTTAATGTTGTTTTGTTACTTGCTACCGGGTGTCTGTGAGAACAAAACACGGGGCGTAGAAAAGACTATAAATTGTTTTTAACGTGCACAGTAATTGAAATTTAAAACTGTTAAAAGAAAGGCTCAATAACTATTGCACAGATATAATACACTACGCATCAATTTCTCTTCCCTTTGTGCTGAGCATCCCTAATTTTGAGTAGCTCTGGTAATAAAAAGCATAGTTGTGTTGAAAATCACACACTCACATTAACAACCGACTCCTTGAACTTGATGTGCAGGCGGTAGCTGGACATGGCGATGATGGCATCCTCCGCCCTTCCCACATACTTCGTATACTCTCCATGCAGCTCTGGGTAGGGCACCTACAACAGATCCAACAAACAACTTACTATTAGACCAATACAAGTATTTGATGATAAAAAAAAGAAGAAGAAAAAAAAAAAAAAAAAGAGGCATTTACAAAAACCCTAACAAAAGAAAAACCCTTGATGTGTCTTCCTGTCAGAGGTGCTGAAAACAAAGGATCTGTTTTAAAACCTAAAGCTGCCTCACTTTCTACTTTAACTGATTTGAAATGCTCTTTATAGGCAGCAACTCTGTTAATAGTCAGTCATGTGTGTCACACACTTACTTACCATCTTGAATGGAAATTTTCACTGTGCTTGTTGCAATGCATTGTAAGTGATGCAGCCTAAGATTTTGGCCAAAACAAGATCATTTTGTTGCCTACTGTTTGTGACAGACTACACATCAGCATATTTATGATACCTATGTAAACAGTATAGTAGATTTTAAAACAGACTAATTTTCCCCTCTTGGTCAGAATCGAATAATACTTGCATTAACGGTACCAATACATCCTAATGAACAACATTCATCTTGGCAGAGGTCTTGATCCCTGCTTACCTGAAGATCCTCATCGTCCAGGACAGGGGGCTTGCGAGGGAAGATCTGATTGGCCTGGATGCATTCCAGACTCTGCTGCCCCTCCTCCTCCTATCAAACAGAATATGGATAAGAAATGCACCGCATTATACTCTACTGACAATTACAATCAAGAATAATGTAACTAAAAATTTTAAAAACAACTACACATAGAATTTGGCAGGGAAATGTGCTTTCGTCATGAACATAGAATGCAATGAAATGTAAAAAAAAAATCTTAATTGAGCTCAAATAGTAATTTTCTTAATGCAAAATATAATTTATATAAATATAAATAATTAAATAAAATAATCAAAATGTATTCTTCTTTTTTATGATGTGACCTGAACACGTTTTCATTATTCACACCACATCACATAATTTATGTTCGGCTGCAATAATAGAAGAGTGTGAGAGGCTCTTTATCAAAGGCCAAACATTTGACATCACAAGTTAAAAATGTACAAATTCCTTTTCCAGTTTTATCACTCCCAGGGGCCAAAAGCCAAACTGTTATACGGATAAAACATTGTCCATGACTAAACCTCTGATTAAATGAGTGATTATCTAAGCTAAACTGGGGACAGAGTGGTCGAAGCATTTCTTTAACCAATACCATTTTTGGCTGGGCTTCAGAGCGGCAAATCATTTGTAAAGGCACAGGGACACTTTGCCAGAACTTCCTGCTCTGAAATCACTTCTGCTATTTCTGATATAACAGGCACTCCTGTAACCGATACAATACTGCAGCTTTATAGAAGACTCTAAGGGCACTGGATTATAGTAAATACAGACGCTATATATGCCATATGATGCACATGCAATCCAAGTGAAAGGTTTTGACACATCTACTAAATCAGAATAATAGTAAACAAATGAACGTATGGGAATTATGTACTAAACAAATGAAAACTGCATCCTTAATACACAACACTGTCTTATTTCCATTTCCTTTTCCATGGCAAGATCCTATTAGAGTTGTGCTTCAGGACTCAGAGCAGCAGTGTGCAGGGCATAAGTCATTCCATTCACTTCTGTATGCAGGAATGAGAGGCTACGGCCAGCAGTAGCCTTGAGAGTTCAGATTGGCAGAGAATGTTTGGATTCTGTTTCCACAAATAGGAGAGACTCTGTGAGAGAGGGCAGCTGTGTCGCCATGTTGTCTAGCTCAAACACCAGAGTCCTCAAGACGGACTGATTGGTCTGGTTGTGCCATAAAATGCTGCCCAGTCAAAGACAAGAGTGTACTGGATGAGATATGCCAGGAGGTGTTGTGTTTGTGTATAAACTAACTAACTCTATCTAACCTATCTATCCATCTATCTACCTATCCATCTATCTAGTGTATAAACTCCCCAACCAACCAACAAACATTCTATCTATCTGTGTATAAACTAACCAACCAATGCTCTTTCTGCCTGCCTATCTGTCTGTCTATCTAGTTGTGTCTAAAATAACCAACCAACTAACTAATGTTCTATCTATCTGAGTGTGTATTAACTAACTAATGTTCTGTCTGTAGAGATAAAAGGATAATACAATTTGACTGGTATATAAGAAGTTAGTGAAGGCATATACATTTGTCAGGTTGCATATCCTAGAAGGGTGTGTGTGTGTTTGCTGGATCAGCAGCATGGCTGTCTGTGTGTAGCGCTGACAATGGCCATCAGCACGGCTCAGTAAACACACTAGAGGGGCCGGTCCCGTGGCAGCCCATTGTGGGCACAGGCACAGAACCAGACAGAGAATTACAGGGCACAGACAGGCAGAATAGCAAACAAACAATAATGTGCATAACTCATTAGGAATGTGTAAACAAACACATCCATCAGCATTCGCGCATAGACCGGAGGCATTCGTTAAACTGTCCGCAGACACTTCAGCAAACAAGAAAATGAGGTACACTTCACTGAACACAGACATAGACGGACTGAAAGACAAATACCACAGTAAATGCTGCTTCTGTTAGAGCCCCTTAAAATGAAAGGTTCGTAATAAAGCTTAGTTTTTTAGTTAGTGTTTTTACCTCGAGTAAGGGGTGTTGTTAGTTATGACTTTAAGCAGAATGGCTAAAATCCCTTAACCATGGTAAAATCACTGTAATTCAGGACAATAAAAATGATACAATAAATAATTAAATGCATTAATAATTCATTCATTCATATTACAGACTGTAAGGCAGTTTCCTAGTTGCCAAGGAACTAATAGAAGGTGTAGTAATATAAAAATCAATTGCTGGTCACAGATGGTGCATCTAGACGCATCTGTCTTGATGCATCTCACAGTTGTGAACGTGTTTCATCCCATCAGAATTTGGAGCCGGAGCTGTTTTATAATGCAGCGCTCACTGATGACACTAGCACACATGTATCCATTCATCCCGTCTGTCTGTCTAAAGAGGGCATTGATCTGCGCTGAGACAGCAGTCAGGACGGGACTTTGACACTGTCTGAGCAACGTTCATTTCAGCTGATTAAAAGCCTGAGAAATCAATGAGCAGTTTCTGATTCAGCATTTGAACCGATGCCTGGGAGTCACGCGCAGGAAAGAGAGACCCTGTGTCCGAAATTGCCCCCTATACCCTTAAATATGGCACTATTTGGGGACAGCCATTATTAGTGGTGTCCGAAATCTTAGGCTTGGTTGGATTGCCTTGTCAGAACCCGAGTTCCATTGCTCCCCCCTCCCTCTGCTCCCACTGGACTGCGTTCATATTATTTTATTTGTGTCTGAACTGCGGTTCGTTTGCGTCATCAAGCCAGCAGCCGTTTACCCCGTTTCTTAGTAACGACGATGCAAGAGAAGGCGGCAAAATGCGTAGCATTGCTCTCTTCACTTTTACATTACTGTTTTTGAACCGTTGGATTTGTTTACGTCTGTCTTACGAATGTACTGCAAATGCTCTAAAGAACGCTGAAGGCGAACAGAAATGAGATATACAGCTAATTTCAAATAATTGACAATAAACACATTTTTTCAAATAATATGTCATTAATAGCGGCTCACTTCTGCGATTTGGTACAATTGCATTCATATCAGCAGAAAAACGTACAGGAGTTTGCTTGAACCGTACCTGAGACCACCCCTTTTAAGTGGATGCGGGTACGGTTCGCAGGTGTGCACCCAAGTTCGGAAGACAGCGTTCACATCATCCAAATGTATGGATCTGAAGTGCTAGTGTGAAAGCACTCTTAACGGACATTATTGAGTTCACTCATTCAATCCCACAATGCACAGCAAAAACGAGTGTACAACTGATGTAAATTTCAAATAATTGACAATAAACACATTTTTTCAAATAATATGTCATTAATAGCGGCTCACTTCTGCGATTTGGTACAATTGCATTCATATCAGCAGAAAAACGTACAGGAGTTTGCTTGAACCGTACCTGAGACCACCCCTTTTAAGTGATTGCGGGTACGGTTCGCAGGTGTGCACCCAAGTTCGGAAGACAGCGTTCACATCATCCAAATGTATGGATTTGAAGTGCTAGTGTGAAAGCACCCTTAACGGACATTATTGAGTTCACTCATTCAATCCCACAATGCACAGCAAAAACGAGTGTACAACTGATGTACGCTCAATGGCTAGAGAATACCCATAATGCACTGTGAGAGTCACGAGGCAATGAGTCTCGCCAGAAGACGGTGCCGGCAGATGAATCATCCATCCATTCATTTTACAAAGCGCTCATCCACGCTCATCCACGGCATACAGCAAAATTGTTTTGTCAGCGTAATACAATACAGGTAAAAATTCATAGTAAATTGATAATTAAATAGTTTAATTAGGTTTTATACATAATTTCCATGACAGAGTCAAGATAAATCCTTTCATCATACTACTGGAGCTGCCAATTTGCCAGTTTCAAATGATAATTAAACTGCAAACACAGACTATGCAAAAGCGGCAGTCCTTCTGCACTCAGTGTCCAAATTCACTCACTCGTTTTCATTGACTCCTTCAAGTGAACTGTATTAGTGGCCTAATGTAAGGAATAGTGAATGAGGATATAGGGGGCGATTTCGGATTCAGCCAGAGACTTTGGAGGTGTTTGTTTACCATAGCCCCGGTGAAGGAGTGCGGGTGCAACACTGTCGTGTCTTCTACCACTCGTTCGCTCTCTCTTGCAGTCGTCAGTCTGTATGAAGAAAAAAAAACATTTAAAGAAGAAACAACTAGCAATTGTCAAAACTTTCCATTTCATTCGAATTAGGTTTGGATAATGCAGGAAATATTCACAATATATTCGCAGGCAATTTAAAATACTGTGAATAATATCACAATGATTTGAATTTACTTTTAATTAGCCTACTACTTTCCTAAATAACAGTCTTATAATTAGTTTCTTAATCAGTTTAAAACTTCATGAAATGCTCAAAGTCTCCATATGACCTTTTTTTATGTATTAATGTGGGTACATTTTTTCACATAGGTAATTTTTTTTTATATATATATTTATTTACAACTTATGGTGGTGCATATTAAAGAATGGGATTAGGCTAATTATTATTCTTTCTTGTGGTCATTTACAGAAAAACAGCTTGGAAAACATGCTAGAATTATTTCCACTTGATTTTTAGACTTTATTTTACTCCTTGCCCTACAAATTTTGAATTTACCAAGCAATAATGGTTGAAATGATGGTTTCTCAAAATAGGAAAAAAAATTAATTCCAGTATAAATACATAAATATCGAGATACATATTAAACATAGGAAAAATGCAAAAAATATTCACCCAGTCCTAATTCACACACATGTACTTAGATCTTACCAAACTCCTAACAGCAATGAGGTGAGGTTTGTTTTGGATGTTCCCACACTGCTGGCGTCACTCAGTGTTATGACATTGAAACCTGTGGAGAGAGATGAGAAAAAAATTAGACCACAGTTTTTCAAGCCATAACTCTCCATTCCAAACATTGCATAACATCTCTGACAATACTGCTTTTCACACTTTGGTAAATATAGCCGTCATGGTGCTGATGGCAATCTGTGGGCAAAGGCGGGCAGAGCCGTTCATGAATGCTTGTGTGGTGAATTCAAATCACTGACGCATATGCTTGGATCGAGTTTTATGAAAAGAGGACAAAATGTACACAGCCATTCATCTCATTTGTCATCATACTCATCAGTTAACTGGTGATTACAGCACTAGCATATGGATGATCTCAAAACTACAGATATGAACTAAATGCCACAAAACTTTTTAATTCGATAAACTGTAACATTAAAGTTAGCTTGGAAGAAAACAAGCAACATTCTGTAATAAGTGCAATTTACACACCTAAAATTCAAATGAGAAACACCGTATCATTAGTTTCTCTTCTTTGGAACTGTACCAACCCTCAAAACCAACCGGTTTTTATTTTTCTTCCTATGAAAGCTATCTGTGAAGCTCTGCTAACTAAAGATGCATAAAGAATGAGATGACACAATTCCACAGAAGATAACAAAACCCAAGCTGTCAAAGACTAAACAGAGCAGAATTACACCATGTCATGGATGGGAGGATTTCAGTGACCCCGTGTGTCTCCTGAGAGTCATATGTGAGTGAGTTCGGTTGGTTAATGGCCAGAGGGCAACAGCGTCCCTATGCAAAAACGTTCAAACACATGCTTCCAGAGAAGGCCACACTGACGCCATCTGGAAACTACTGATAAAACATATCTCTAACAAGAAAACACTCATGTTTACTACAGCTGAGGAGTCTGTCTTCAATCTGATTGGCCATTTTAGTGACTTGCAAAAGTACTGCAGTCTCATGACCTGAACAAATGACAGTGCAATGTGGTACATGAAAACTGTTTTATGCAGTGCCAGTCCCAGACCATTTCCATACTGGCCCAGATCCAAAAGCATTGTTTCAGGTAGAAGGTTCTCCTTATTTCACATGACAGGCCTCATATCTGTATTGGGTACACTGTCATACACTGAAGCACTTCCGGCGGATGACGCAGCACGTATGTGTTGCGTGATTAGTGACGAATGCGGAGAGAGAACAAAACAAAACGCCGGTCATGAATTAGAAGTACAAACCGAGGATTTGCAAAGAAAAATGTCGGAGGATTTCGATATAAACCAAGAAGAGACTGGTTTTCCTTTGCTAAAGTAAGGAAACTTTGCTTCCTTTGCTCCTATAAACAAACTCGAGAGACTAGCATACCTCAGAGGCGTGCGCGCTGCGTCATCCGCCGGAACTGCTTCAGTGTATGACAGTCAGCGGAAGTGAGAGAAAAGTGTTTATTACATTTAAAATATGGATATTTTTCTTACAAAAACTCATGGATTCGCTACAAGGGGCCTTTATTCATCCCCCGGGGCCGTCTGCGGCACGTTTTATTATGAATGCGTGAGCTTTATTTGACGACTTCAACTGTTCAACTGCAACACCCGCTGACTGCAATGATAGAGCTTGGAATAGCCAGGACAATTTTTAATATAACTCCGACTGGATTCGTCTGAAAGAAGAAAGTCATATACACCTAGGATGCTTCGAGGGTAAGTAAAACACAAGCTAATTTTCATTTTTGGGTGAACTAACCCTTTAAGTGCCATTGTTTTGTGATACACAGGCTTTTTATCTCATCCTATTTCAAATTCAAAACTCATATTAACTTTCATTAAATGATTTCATTTGCTGTGGTTCTGGAGATCCAGAGGTGATGGGGAAAAAACAAAACTTCAATTTTTTTTCTCGATACATATTGATACTGAAATATCTAAAATATTTTCAATATTTTTTTCTTACAGTTTTGTTACAGCAAAACTAGCTGCTCTTTCTCACTCTCTCTTCTCACTGACAGCAAGTTCACGCACACAGCAGTGTAATGAGAAGCATTTATCAACATGTTGTCTAACAAAATACACATTTAATAACATTTTACTCCAAATTCACTTCATAATTTCAATTGAGTGTTTGAAATAACTACATTTTGTGATCTGATGTGGCTTCTTATAAAATTTGGCTGAAAATATACAATTTTATATTATTATTACATGGCTCTCTGGAATACTCTCTGAAATACTTTTCAAAATATCAATATTTTTCTGGTATGGCATCGACAACACTAGTTACAATAATATTTGGACACTTGAAATGTCTGAATGAATACATAATGATTTTACATTGTGAAAATGCTAGTAGAACAGGTCCATATTTTGCTAAGACACCTGCGTTAAATTGAGGAGACTTCATTCATCCACTAAAAATCATAACAACACCAGCTGATTCAAAGACACTGAGACATCAAAAAAATGATGAAGAAAACTGAAGCTGAGAGAAAGCTTCTGCAGGGTTTGAGCACAGGGGACTTGATCTAATGGAAGGCATTTTGAAATATGGCGTAATTGTCCAAATACTTTGTGGGTTTGCTGTGCTCTAAACAAACAGCAAGAACAGATGTTTATCATTATGAGTTCATTCATAAACTCAACCACCCGCCCTCCTGTCACTAAGGTTACTATTGATCGGCCCACGACACGCAGTCAGTGACGTGTAAACACACAATCATTGAGGTTTTATCTACTGCTGCGTTTAGATACCAGGCATTTGCGCTCATTCAGCAGGTTGAGTTGACTTTTAACCAGATGCATTTCATTCCAAAGTCACACCATGAGTCAGATTCAAACCACATGAGAAACCCAACACCAAAACACAGCCGAAGAGCCAAAGGATCGTCTAGCAGCACCACGCGGATCTGACAGAAACACAACAAATCCAACACACGCCTCTCTTCAGCGAAACCAAGGCAACCACACATTCCCTCAAAAATACCTTAGTTACTGCAGTGAAACTATGGTAACTCGGTATGGAGTGCGAGAGTTGGGCTCATGAAGTAAAAATCCAATTGATTTTCTCTATAGGGGAATTGGTCTTGAACGATAACTTAAAAATCTTTAAAGAAAGACATTCTGTGTTATGAGGTTGTTAATCAATGGCATATGCTTTTGTTGAAGCCATCAGTTTGCATTATTTCAACATATTTTTTTAATAATCATGTTCAACAGTGGAATTCCTGGTGAAAAAACTGACATTACCCATGATTCCGCAGAAAAATATCAACCAATCAGAGAATCACCACGACAAGCAAATCACGCCAAACACTTGGACTAGTGCCCGTCCACTCCCATGCAGCACTGTGAATGACGTGTTTGAGAGCGTAGTGACATCAATTCAATAGTTTTATATTTCTATATTGTTTTTAATGTCATTCGCAGTGCTTCATGGGGTTATAGTTCTTTCCCTCAAGCTGTTAAAGGGACAGTTCATCCAAAAATGTAAATTCTGTCATTATTTGCAAACTTGTATGAGTTTCTCTCTTCTGTTGAACACAAAAGAAGATATTTTGAAGAATGCTGGTAACCAAACAGTTGACGGTAGCCATTGACTTCCACAGTATTTTTTTCCATACTATGGAAGTCAAAATCTACCATTTGTTTTAACGGAATATTCATTTCTTTGGTTGAACTATCCCTTTAAATATTTTTGTAAGATTTTCAATCGCTTTTTTGCTTCAAAATCAAAGTTTGTCATATTGTGATTCTCCTCGTAGCTGGTTGGTCTGGTTCATGGCTTATAACTCTTAAAGGAATACTTTTTAAACATCCCTATGGCAAAAATGAAAGGGAAAAATACAACCGGAACCAAAGCTGCTGAAAAAGTTGCACTCATTCTGAAAGCCTCTTATTTTACAATGCTTGAAGACGATCCCATTATTTAGGAACAGTCACCATGGTAATAACTATTCTGAGTTATTGTTGTTACTACAGTAAAACTGTCTAAAAATATTCTAAATGTATCTTGCATTGTTTGAATGAGACATGGTTTATTAAATAAGTATTATTAATGTATTACACTTAAACACTGAGCTTTACTGCCATGATGCCATGTTAATCACAGTCTTCACCAAAATATTGTAGTTATTTCAGTTATTGTTCCAACTGTTAAGTCATAATAATTACAGGATCTCCTCCAAAAAGCAAAGAAGCTTCCAGAACATATACTGTAGTAACAATAACTATGGTAACTGTTATTAATGCTGGTAACATGGCAGCTAATGCTACAAAAGTACTCCCAGCTTGATATTATACACCAGTCATAAAAATGAATCCAAAACGATGCATTAAGATTTTGTAAGCATTACTTTTACCATGGCGACCATAGTTTAGATCCAAATACTACAGTGAGTGTTTTCTTATTTATTACAACCGTGGTGAATACCGCGAAATGTCAGTTTTATTGCTGTAGCAACAGGGTAAACCTGGTTACCATGGCAAACTGTTGTAAGGGGCTCGCGTTCGATCTGTCAGTCAGACGCGCGGCGGTTGTAATACCGACTGACTAACCGACAAAAACTGAGTATCAAGGCCGCGTTTCTTCCTCTGCCATGGGTCAAGCTTATATCAAACCATCTGAATAGCAACAGGCTCTAAACCGCGCTGGTATTTTACCGCTCATATGAAGCATTTTAGACATTTCTCCTCAGCCGAGGCCCGTTTCGGCGTCTGTTGTTGTTGTTGTTGTTGTTGCGAGCGGAGGGCGGACCCCTCAGATAAGGCCTCAAAAGGGCCGAAATACAAACGCATCCAGCTCGAAAAGCACTCAGCTCACTCACCTGAGGGCAGCCTGCGAGACAGAGCGGGTGTACGCCTCCTTCCGAGCGGCAGAAGAGAAGATTAACGACGAACAAATCGACAAATCGCACCTCGTAGCCATTTGCAGAATCGGCCCGTCCCACTGTGGAATCCCGTCGTCATCGCAGTTACCACGACGTCGGGACGTCACGACGCAGATTGCGTCAACACGTTCGAACGTGTGGGGGAGGGGTGGATCTTCTTCTTCTTCTTGAAATTTTATTGGCGGTTGACAAACAACAAAATGGTGTATTTCCGCCACCAACTGGTATGGAGTGTGGATCAAAAAAGTGACTTCTTTCCTTCCCCCTTTTTAAATTTTTTTTAATTCTCTCCCACAAATTAGTTATTTTAAGGAACTGACCGACCTTTTTTCTCCTTATCCCATTGTTTTTGCCACCTTTCCTTCAGTCTTTTCTTAATAATACTCTTGATTTCATTCTTACTTAGATTAACAATTAAGTTAATGTCGTTGTTTTTAACTGCTTCTTTTGCTTCTTTATCTGCAGTTTCATTTCCTTGGACGAGGGGTGGATCTGTAAACATGAACAAGCTTTGAAGTGGATCTCGTAACCGGTTGTTGGCGCCAGTGAATGCGTAAGTATATGAATAAATAAATATTTACAGATAGTGGAGATGGGAATTTGACATAAAAACAATGTAAACAATATCAAATTGACTGTAACTGAAAGTGAATTAAAGGAAACAATTGAAAGTTGATTTGAATTTGAAGAGGAGACGGGTGTCACCTTTTTTTTAGTCCACGTTCAGGTTTATTTAGTATGGGATTTAAAACAATAATAAAATAAAAAATATTTATTTATTTATATTTATCTTTTTTTTTAGATATAAAAAAGTTTTTTAAATATATATATATATATATATACATATATATATTAAACTTTTTATCTAAAAATTCTGTCTTTAATTTTTGCCATTCTGCGTTTGTATCTCACAATTATTACTTTCCCCCTCATTTTATATCTCACAATTATTATAGTCAGACATTATAGTCAGAATTCAAACTGTATATCTCGCAGTTATGCCCTTTTTCTCAGAATTAAGAGAATTCTTCTTCTTTTTTTATAACATTATGTATTATATGTTATATATAACATTATTTTAAATGTTTTTTAAAGTTGTGACTTTTTATCTTACAATTCTGACCTTTTTCTTGCAATTGCGAGTTCATAGCTCTCATTTCTGACTATTTCTGACTACTCGAGTCTGAGAGAAAAAAAGTCAGAATTGTGAGAAAGAAGTCGAAATTGTAGTTTAAGTCATCGAAATACCTTTATTTATTTATTTTTTACCCAGTGAATACAAATCTGTAAATCTGTTGGCAATTTCATGGACAGTTTAAATCATGAAATGGCAAGAAAATAAGCATTTATGCAACTGGACTTTTGATTGTTTGTAAATGTGCCTGTAATTTAATACTCCCAATGTAAAGCTTTTCTTTTACTAATAAAACTACTTGAATCTTGCTTAATAAAATAAAGTACAAGGTAGGCTATAACAAAAAACACAGACAAGATAGGTTTATACAATGATGTACTGTATTCAATAATGACTCGGTACATATGTATGTGATTAAAAGACACATGACATTTGACATTTATTTGTCCTCTCTTTAACAACCAAAGCTTTAAGTGCTCTGCCATAAGGTCATAGGAAACACACCAGAACGCTACAGGAAATTGGATGGAGGAAAAAAATGACTATTACCTACCCAGGCTTTCAGAGGAACAACCAGAGTTTTGCCTCCCCCTTGTGTTAGTATTCAGTGTCATACAGAGCCTCATTTACACACACACACACACACACACACACTGCAAACACACACACACACACACACACATACATACACTGCAAACACACACACACACACTGCAAACACACACACGCACAAAATTAGAACCAACAATTAAGTTTTCAAGTCTGAGAGTTTTTTAATTCTTTAATTGAGGCTGTTTAATTACTAATATTTGAATAAGCAAAAAGCCTGTGTTTCCGAAGGCTCAGGGATAATTCTAATACAAACACACTCAAGCACCAGAGATATTAAAGTAATCTTGTTTAGGCCGAGTTACTTCTGACCTCTAATTAGACTGGAACGGCACT